CACACACACACACACACACACACACACAGGTATAAAGATCAAATCATGTGCAGTCACATTTTATGCTCTTTGGAAAGTGTTACTTATTCAGATATGAAGTTGTTGTACTTCCTTGCTAATTCTCTACAAATTTTATTATTCCTTATGCCTTTCATTTTTAATTATAGAATTTATTAGAGTATTACATTTCTTTGAAATGTAAGGCATTATTATAATTTTAAAAGGCATTAAATTTTTCAAAACTGGAAACCTGCCATTAAATGACAGAGTATAGTGTGTTTGAAAGCTTTGAGTTCACGTTTGTCTCAGTTTTGTAGCAAATAGAGGAGAATGGAGTTGATTACAGAGGGAAGTGTCATTTTTTTCCACTGACCGAGAACACTTGGCCGGGTGCCTCCTCATCCATCACCACATGTCAGTCTAGAAGGGCAATTGGATGTCCCCATCGAACATCCCTCTATACCTGGGTTTCTCCAAATGTGCAAGAATACTAAACAACACATCCATGTCCCACTCAATTTACAGACTTGTTATATAAGAATCTGTGAGAAAAATCTCCACCGAACAGTATCTTGATCACAAAATGTGCTGGGTATCTTGGAAATGCTACCATAAGGGAGTATTATTCTAATTAAAAGAAAAATGGAGCTAAAGGGGGTTGGAGTTGCTAAAAGTAGAGGGAATTCAGCAAAGGCAACTTCCTTTGATTGTCGGTGACCAGCTCTGCTTCCAGAGACTTCCATGAGTCTTCTGAATCAACGTGAATAATATATTTTCTGACTCAAAGTCTCACAAAGGATTTTATAAGTACACTTGATGCTAGGAAATAACACTTCATAGAACTCCTATTTCCTCTTTTATTCAAGACCTTTTCATGTTTTTTTTCTGATTTTTCCTTGTGAAAAATTTTGAACTTTGCTTTTCATCATTGATTCATCTCTTCTGTCCATAACACATTTTTTTTTCTCTCTTCTAACCTGCCCATTTTTTCCATTTTCTTGCTAGTAGCTTAACTTTGATCTTCCACCTCCTCCATTTCTACTCCCATTTCCTTTAAACTCATTGTCTTCCTTCTCTTTTCTTCCCCTGAGGAAAAATCCCCTGGTCCCCAATAAAAATAAAACTGGCTAGGATAGTGTTGGGAAATTGAACTGAGACATCATGCTGCTAGCTGGACAGGCCAGACGTGACTCGATCCATTGGAGTAGATGCCACCTGACAATACAAATAGACTTGGTCAGCTCAAAATTGCAAGACTTTCTGGGATTTTTCCACACATATGTTTGACATTCTCAATTCAATTCCATAACCCAGATGGTGGAAAAATGTCTTTGTTTACTTGAGATGAATTCTTATCTATCATCTTTCATACCCATAAGACCATTGCTCACAGCTCCCAAGATGGCCTATTGGTACCATCATTTTGCTACACTTCATGCTCATTATTGGGCACAATTAGGAAATGTAGCATTCTGGTTAGTTACATTTTCTAATTGGGAATTTTAAGGTACATCTTCTGTGGTTTACTGACATCTAGACACCTGGAATAATCCAAACACTAAAGCTTAATTAAATGAAATTACTCTTTTTTGGAAATTTCAGAGGAAACTTCAGGACTTACAGAATATCAGGGTCATCACAGATGGATTGTAGATATGCAGGTGTACAAGATAATTGGGATTTCCATTGGATGCCATATAAATATGGGTCTGGGTATGTAATAGCACAGGCTACACGGAAATAAGGTACCATGTCAAATACATCTTCCTTCCTTTGTTTTAAAATGTGTTTATATTCAAAGGAAAGAAATCCATGACCTGCAAAGTTACAAAACAGAACATAACAGTATGTATGTACTATACACACACCTATACACACAAGTCTGGGAAGATATGCGCCCAATTTTTAATAGTGGTATCTCTAGTAGTATCTCTGGGTGATGGAATTACAGGTGCTTTTGTTTCCTTCTTTTTTTCTTAATCTGCTTTTTCTATTTTTTAATAGGTAAATAGTCCTTCTCTGAAACAAATCAAAAGGCAAACCCCACAGCTCAGTATTCAAAGCAGAAAAAAAAAACCATTCAAAATTAATTAAAAACAGGTTAAATGAAGATGATGGCTGCAGAAGACATCTCTGCATTTGGGAAACAGACTTGATATAAGCCACATTGTCGATTATGAACTTGAGAGTGTTTGGAGGGATGGGGTGCTATAGGGTCTGCAGTGGGAACAACATGGAGTTTTGGAAGACGTTGGTGTCTTGGAGAAGAGAGGTGGGGTTTGGACTATTGCCTGGTGACTTCTAGGGCTCTGTGAGTCATACAGGAAACGACATGTGTTTATAAGTAGGAATTCTAACATTTGTGAATAAAATCAATTTTTTTTTTTGCCTTCCTGCATCTGTTTCTAACCTCCTAGGTAAATAATAAGATATGGAAGATCATATCTTCATTTCAACACCAAGTCTCCATAGCTGGGGTAAAAGTTTGTGCTGAGCCTGAAATCATTCTCTGCTGGGTCTTGGTCACCCTCAAGGACTGCAGCTTCACCCCCTGGGAAGCTGCACCCCATCCTAGCACTTGGCTGCACAGGCCCTGTTGCAGCCTTCCTGGACCTCTGCCCTGACCTGACCTTTACTCTGCATGGTCTCCCCTGTCTGCCTTCCCACCTGCTTCTGCCTCAGCTTTCCAGGGCATTCTGTGCTAGTGATACAAAGGATGTGATGGTGTCTCCAGAATGCAGAGAGGGTTTGCTATTGCAGAATCATCTCCAGCTCCCTCCTGTTTATATCCTTGGGCAAAAGAGGCCTCACTGTGGAGGCAATGTCTCCAGCTTCCAGAAGACCCCACATTTTCCAGCGACCAGAGCAGATTCTTGCCTCTGCCCACTTCTACCGTCTCCTACACCTCCTCTGAGAGCTCTTCTCAGTCCTTGCTGAAGCCAGCATCTCTCCTGCTCCCTGTGGGTGCCTGGTGCCCTGTGGGAGGCTGGAATTCTCATGTCTCTGTGTGGATCCTTCTGTCCTCCTCTGAAGTTCCTCGTGGGTACGTACAGCAAGCCTTTTTCTAGAGCCCCTGTACAGTCTTGTGCTAAGACCTACTTGTTTTTTTCTGAATGGACTCTCAGTGTTAGGGTCCCCAAGTGAGCAAGCAGTTAGCATGTCCAAATATCTCAGTACTCTGAGTTTTAGGCGATATGTTCTATCTCATATTCCTCAAACCACCCCTATGAACAGGCCTTCTAACATTCTGGGATAAGAAAAAAAAAAAGTTAATTAGGAGGACTCACTGCAGACCTGAACCTAGACTTCGGAATTCTGATTTCAACCCAACACTTTCTACCATGATGGAGGTTCCCAAACCCATTTGAGCTCATCAGAACCCCCTATAAGCTGCTTGACAATCTAGAGTCACGGGCCCCACTCTGAACCTTCCAATCGTCCTTGGGATGCAGCCTAACCATCCTACTATCCACAGTTGCTCCAGAAATGCTTCTGCTGCCCCCACACCTCCCATGAGGACCAGCTCTCATGAAACATGCTAGTCCATGTTATCCAGGGATATGTCCTTACCCTGAAAATCTTACGTTCCTCCGTTAGTAACCTGCTTATTTGTGAAAGTCCATGTTCACCTCCCAGTATCTTCCTTCTGTGGAACCTTCCTGAGTTAACAGCACAATTTCTAGAAAGTCCAAGGTTAAAAACAATTCTGCCACTCCTTGATCCCAGATAGGAAAAGGGAGTGCAGTTTGACAGCCAAGCTTAGGAAGGCCCCAGAACAGCTGCCAACAGGCTCCTGAACTGAGCATAAGGACCCAGCCATCCTCAGCAGCTAGATCCACATCAGCTAGACCCCAGCTAATTGGACATGTCTGGAAAGACTCTGAAATAGTCAGGACTCTGTAAAGTAAGGGGCAGGGAGCCTGGCAAATTAAATGACAAGCCCATCCAAGAATTCAGCCCATCAGGGGTCTGAAAATGGTGGGAAAGTTCTTTCTATTTGGAAGAGTAGTCAAATTCAGAGGGAATCAGCAACCTCTAGCCGGCAGACCACCAAACCTGAAATTCAGGAGAGACTCTCAACCACACAAGTTCTCCAGAGGAACAATTAGGAGCTGGTTTAAGAAGTCCCCCAAGCTGGCTTAACCTACCACGAACCCAACAAGTGGACACCCTTGACTGTGGTTTCTAAGGAGGGGTCACTTCCAGAGAGGGGCTTGGGCTGCGTGCCCAAGTGCTATATGCAGGTCAGTCTGGAAACCATTACCGTAATCGTCGGGAAAATCGGTTAGGAGAAAAGTTGAAGCAAACTGAAATTTGAAAAACACATTAACAGGGACCTGATGAGATGCCAGAAGAGTCTGCCAGCAGGGACAGCTGGAAGGCCAATTTTTCAGCCCATACTGAAAGGTGGTTGCTTACATATCTGAGTCAACTACACTGGTTTCTCTCCTGCTCAATACTCCTGTTTAATTGCACTGGGGGGTCTCCCTATGGACACACCTAACACCCCAAAATATAGTGGAGTGAAAGAAAAATGTGTCATGGAAGGGCAAATGAGGTTCCCATCCTTCCCACTGCTTCCTTCTCCTATTGCTGAGGGTGCCGCAGGGATTCAACAAGGCCACTTTTAAAAGGAGGCCAAGAGAAGGGGTGAGCACCAGGCCTCAGCTGGCCCTCGAGAGACATCTGCATGGTGTTCCCATTAGATATTTTGCCAGGAGCAATGGTAACCACAGCAGGCAGGTAGGAGGCAGGGGACTGCCTACAACCCACACCCAGGAGTCAAGTCAGATAGAAAGGCATAGAACTGCAGAGCCACCATGTTTGGAAGCCAGGTGACAACCTGCCGAGGAGGGTGGCCGATGTCATCAATGAGGTGGGTCCTGAATGTTCAGCCAACTACCGAGAGACTGGAAAGCTACCAGATCTCCAAGGCAGTGAAATCCCACAGCCTGACTTCAGGAGTCTCACAGGCTTTGGCGACTGATAGAAAGGCTTCCCCATAATGATGTCCAGACAGGGGACAGGGTAATGGTGAGGGTGGGGGCTCTTGCCATGACCCTCTAGAAGCCTTCATTATCTCAGAGCAAAGCTAGGCCAGCAAATGCATGGGAACCGGCATTGGAACTAGGGTGAGAAGTAGGGTCTATGAGCAGGAGCCGCGAATCCTATAAGGCTAAGTGTCACATCTGATGTCAACCCTGAGAGATAAGAAAGAAACCCACACAGGGGGAAACGCGAACTCATATTGCTTGGGGAGGATGGGAAAAGATGTGCATTTGGGTAGCTTTTCACCCAAGGTCTACCTGGCTTCAAGACTCTCACATATACCTGAAAATTTATCATTCACCCACAGTGCGAGAGTGATTCACCATCAACACACCTGCTCATCACACTCAGTGACGGGAAATCTGAGAGAAATGGGGCTGGGCCATCATGATGCCAAGAAGTCCAAGTGCAGCAGCCTGCCATGTGGGAAATTATGGAATTGCTTTGCTCCATTACTAAAGCCATCTCACACAGACGCGGTCTGTCCAAGAAAACCAAGCCTAGAGATCACACGCTCCTCTTCATGTTCTAGTTGTGGGACCTTATATGCATCACATGGCCTTCCTGAACTTTAAGTGCCTTACCTCTGTCGTGGGATTAGTAATGTGATCGTTGTGTCCATGTGATCACTGGGTCAAATGTGACAATGTGAATAAAATGCCCAGCACCAAATAGCTGCCCAACAAATACCCTTTTTCCACCCCTCCAATTTCCCTTTGATATACAGGTGCCCTCTGTTTTTCCTTTTCTAGCCAATGATGCTGGGTTTTGTCCGGGAAAGCAAAGGTTTGACGAAGCATTAAATCAGGGACCATCTGAGATGTTCCTCTTTCCTCTAACCAACCCTGTTGGTCCCCTGTGCACCATGCAGCAGGTGTCTAAGAAAGGAATTCCTTCAACTTCATGGAGCTTAAGGAATTCTTCGACCTTAATAAATCATAAACCACCTTCTGAGTGATTTATGGAGCAGCTACATATGAATTGGAACAGCAGAGATCTGCTTCCTTTGAAGGTGCCCACCAGGCCCCAGCAGCTCTGCACCTCACCCCAGACTTTGTGCCCATACATTCTGCACGTGGATAAGGAAGCTCAAGGCCAAGACTGTTGGAGGCGCTACCCACCTCTCTGACCTCATCCCCTACTGCTCCCTTCCTCCTCCAGCCCTCTCCAGATACACTGGCCTGGTCTCCATTGCACTTGCCCAACCTGTCTGCCTCTGGGACCAGCGTTTCTGGAAGCCCCATTCCCCAGGCTGCCACCTGCCGGCTCTTTCCCTGAATCCTAGTCTCAATTTAGGTGTGGCTGCCTCAAGGAAGAATTTGTTGGCCCTCTTCTCCACTACTCAGATTTATTTTTTCTGTAGCATTCATCCCCACCTGAAATGTCTTATTTATTTTGCTACATGTGAAGGGTCTGATTCTATCAAAACACAAGCTGTGTGAATGTTCTGTTCAGTAGCACCGCTGGATCCCAGGGAGGCGCACGCTGGTCACCCTTTGTTCCTAGTGATGTGGCACCCCCTTTCTCCACTGAAAGCCCTCTTCACCATGGCTGATTTTAGGACTGTCAGCAAAGGAGTCCATTGTAGATAAACTTCCTATTTTCATGTTGCCCTGTTTACTTGGCTACTGGCCAAGAAGATACCAGCACCCCTTACTAGTTTTTCACAAACATATCCAGTATAGTCCTTTGAAGATATGTGCAAACAAGGCCTCTGGCCTTGAGCTGGGGTTTCACAGAGATGTCTACATTTTTTAGATGTTACAATTGGGCTCCATGGTAACAGCTGGCAGGGGAAAGAAATAAAGGGGAGAAGAAGCTCTCCCCTTCTCAAGTGTTGTCCTTGAAGAGTTACCTTGGCCAAAACAGTGAAAGAAAAAGCTGCTTTTATGTGAACTTCTGCAGACAGTGAACTTTTGAGCCCCTCCCCTTACATGCTGGGTATAAAACTACCTGAACTCGGGGTTCAGGGGATTAATTGATTACAGCAAAAGCTGTGCCCTCTGAACCTGGCTGCAGCCAAATAAAACTGTTTCCTGCTATCTTCGATGCCTTGCCTCATTTGTCCCTACAACACTAGAGCAGCAAGAAATGGTTTGTTGAAAAATCCATGGCTGTTATAATCCTATCCTGTACTAGTCTGGACAACTCTTCAGGTTTGGACACTTCCAGAAACGTGAGCTGTAGGAGAGCAGGGTGCCAGGAGTAGGAAACACCTCTAGGTCATGACGGAAATCTGCTTCCAACTTCTTATGACCCAGGAGTCAGAACAAGGGAAATTTTACTCTGTGTCCTCTCTACTGAACTGAGCAGAAGGGTGCTGATCATTTCCCCCTCTCTCAGATTCTGGAGCCAACCAGCTCAACACCAAAGGCTCAATTGATCCAGGTAAACACTGTCTATATTGCCCAGCTCAAGGGGTATCCGACTGTCCAGAATATAAGAGAGGGGTGTGCAGGGCAGGAGGATGGAGGCTCCACCCGCAAAGGCAGCAGCATGGTGGAAGCCACCTGTGTCCACTCTCAGACCAAGTCTACTGCAGACACATCTGAAGTGCAGAGTAGAAAGATACCCAACGCTAATGACAAGGCTTTGGGGCTTACCCTTGTGATCAAGTGGAGTTTTAGGTCTGCCCATGATCTCATCCTCTGTGGCATTCAAGTTCTGGATCAGAAAGTATGTGGTCATTTTCCCTTTACCTTTTACTTCAATTTCACCTCTCTCAATGATTTCAAACCCTTGATTTTCCAGGGCTCTGTACAGAAAGAAAAAGAAAAACAAAGACCACAGGATGGCTACAGTGCAAGAGGAGAGTCCCGGACCCAGGACACACAGCAGGGAGGAAGGAGGATCCAAACTCCTGGTCAGGGCCTCCCAAGGGGCAAAGGCAGTGGGGAGAAGAGGGAGGTGCGAAGGTTGATGTTCTGAGCAGGGTGCCGAAGAGCAAGAGAAGGCACAGGGAACCCTCCCAAACCCTGATGATCCTCCCACAATGTTCTTCCTCCCAGACATGCCTCACACACACAGCCCCTCATTTCTACTGACTGCTTGGTTTTCACTCCCAGGACCCTGATTTTGGCTAGATCCCTCTCTGAAACTCCTCATTCAAGATTCAGCATGGCATCTTCTCTCCCACCCCATGAAGCCTTTCTTTCCAGGGTCAGGCTCCTGCCCCTGGGCTCCCATGACCTGCTCGAATTCCCAAAGCAGGAGAATAGAGTAGCTGAAGAGCGGGGAGTCTGAGCGCTGAGCCCTGCCTGGAAGCTTCCAGGTTCCTCCCCTCCTGACCTACCTAAACCTGGGGCAAGGTATTAGCGCTTTTTATGTCTTATTTTTTTTCTCATCTGTAAATAAGAATAATAATAGTACACTTTCATGGAGTCGTTGCAATTAAATGAATTAACATACGTAAAAGATTTTAGAATCCAGTGTGGACGATTGGAAGTACTCTAGACATTCTACGCATTAGTTTGAGCCTATCTTTATCTTTGTACTTGTCCCACTCTAAAAATATTGAAATGTGAATTTTCTGTCTTCTTCCCATAGACCAAGGGCCAGCAAACTTTTTCTATAAAAGATCAGATAGTAAATATTTCAGGCTTTGTGTACCATATAATCTCAACTCTGTCTTTGTATCATATTAGCCGTGGACAGTGTGTGATAAGAGAGCATGGCTGTGTGTCAATAAAACTTTATTTACAAGAAAAAAAAACACCAAGCCCATGGGGCTTTATAACTTGCTTTTCTCTCCACTAAGCCACATGGACCTTGAGAGCAAAATCTATGTCATAGTGGAAGCTCCACAATCCTGTCTGGCACAGTGTCTTCTGTGATCCAGTGAAGCATGGAAGAGCAAACAGGAATCTCCTCCACTCCCCCACCCCATGGTTGGTGGACATTCCGTAAGTTCTGGAATGAGGGGATGGATGAAAGAAGGCACAGAAACATGAATGGCTACCTGTAGGCTGTGGGGCTGAGGTGCACTTTGTTGGGAAGCCCATGACTTTCCATCCTAGAGGCTGTGTTCACAGTGTCACCAAACAAGCAGTACCGTGGCATCTTGTCTCCAACGACACCTGCTAGGACTGGTCCAGTGTGGATTCCCACTCGGATCTGCACAGAGAGAACCTCCCTGAAAAGAAACCATCTAATCCTCTTGCTTTTTACTTTTAAGTTAATGTATAATTTTACATAAAAGGAAAACCACAGCCATTAATGTGTTTAGCTCCATGAATTTTGCCTATGTCCCTAGAACCTCCATCTAAAACCATTCCACAAAGATATAAAATTGTTCCACTATTTCACAGAATTATCTTGTGCTCCTTTCCAGTTAAACTCTTTTCCCCTCCCACTCCCAATAGAGGTAGAGAACTACTTTTTAAAATACATTTTCCCAAAGATTATTTTGCCTGTTCTGTAATGTCACATCCATGTAATCATCTAGTATATGCTATTTTATATCAGGATTTACTTGATCAACATAATTTTGAGATTCATTTACAGGGTATGGATCAGTATTTCATTATTTTTATTACTGAACACTAAAAGTACACCATGATCCATTTATCCATTCTCCTCTTCACTTGAGTTATTACCAGTTTGGACCTAATATAATTAGGGCTGCCATGAACATTTCTGTACATATATTTTTTTGTGGACATATGTTTTCAATTCTCTTGGGTAAATTCCTAGAAGTAGAAATTCCACTTCTGGGTCACAAGGAAATTCCAATTTAATTTTACTCAAAACAAAGCAAAACTACCCAATAAAATTCTCCAGAATTCACTCTCTATTTTCCATTCCTATCAGCAGTGTGACACTGCTCATGGCTCCACATTTTCACCATTTGGTCTTCTAGTTGGTGTGAAATGATATCTCTCTGTGGTTTTCACTTGCATTTCCCTAGCTGATAATGTTAAGTACATTTTATGCCCATATTATCCATCTGTATACCCTCTTTTGTGGAAAGTCTGTGCAAGGTTTTGCCTGCTTTAGAAATTGTATTGTTTACCAGTTATTGTTAATGTACATGAATTCTATACATATTTGAATATATATATATATATATAATTTTTTCTAGTCTATGGTTTTGTATATTCATTGTGTTTAATAAGCAGAGATTTTAATTTTGTTGAATATATTAATTTGCTTGGGCTGCTATAATAAAATACCACTGACTAGGTGGCTTAAACAGAAATCTTATTGTCTCATGGTGCTGGGTGCTGGAATGCCAGGATCAAGGCAAGGTCAGGTTTGGTTTCTCCTGTAGACCTCTGCTGATTTACAAACGACAGCCTCTCTCTGGGGTCCTCACCTGGTCGGCATCCCTACTATCTCTGTGTCTTCACTTCCTTTTCTTATAAATATATCAGTCAGATTGGACTCACCCTTAGGCCTCATTTTCACTTTATCAGCTCTTTACATCATGTACCTTCAAATATAGTCACATACTAAGAAACTGAGGTCCAGGACCCATGAATTCTGGGGGATTTTTTCCTTTCACGTTTAGTACCTTTATGTACTAAGAAATCATTGTCCCAAAGATATGAAACAATCTACTGCATTTCCATCAAGAAGCTTTTATGATTAGCTCTCTAATGTATGTTAAATTATTTTTCATATATGAAGCGAGGTAGGATTGAGGTACATTTTTTTCTTTCCATATAATATTCAGTTGTAACAGAACCATTTTTTGAAAAAAAAAAAAAAAGGTTGTTTTCCCCACTGAATCAATTTGGTGCGTTGACTAAAAATCAATTAATCTTTAAGGCACAGTCTATTTTTGGACACTCTCTACTATTCCAATGATCTATTTGTCTATCTTTCTGCCATTTCTACTTTGTTTATTACTATAGCTTTAGAATAGTTCTTGACATTGGGTAGAGTAAGCCCTATAATTTTATTTTCCATTGACTGAGTTATTTTAGATTCTTTACATTTTCATACAAATTTTAAAATCAACTGGTAAATATTTTCAAAGAAGCCCTCTGGAATTTTTGACTGCTATTCTATCAAATCTATACATCAACTTGAGGACAATGGACAGCTTAATCATATTGATTTATTTCCAGTTGTGAACATGGTACATTCCTCCATTTAATTA